AGTTGTTCCTGACTGAGTACAACTTGTTCCAACTTTTAAGCAATCCTGAGGCAAGTACTCAGTGGTTTATAATCGCCACCTGAAGAACATATTTGTGGTGTGATGGTTGTATCCAAACCAGGCTTACTGGATAATGCGACCGGAATGGAATTTAAAAATTCAGAAAGCATGCTGAATGCCAGATTTAATTACGAAATCACCGGGATGGTTGCCTTGGCTAAGAAATATATACCCAAAAATCTCGGTAAGTGTGGAATAAAATCTTGGGTCGCGCGACACAGAAACATTGTATATCTACAATATACAAGTTCACACAGATAAGAAAGCTGATGGGAATAATCAGTTCGTCTGAGTTTTACCAAAACTCACCAAGACCCTCAAAGAGCATACTACGACGTGAGACAACTGTTATCCTTTATAACATGGGGTGGGACGAGATAGTTCAGTGGTTGGAGCACGAACTTACTGACCGGAAGGTCCGTGGTTCGAACCCGACCTCTGCCACTCGACTTCTGTCCAGGCTTGGGCAACCTGGCAGTGTCCATCGTGCCTCCTTATAGTAACATGGCAGTAAGGCAATAAAAGTGTGCTACAGTTGAGCGATTTTCTATGATTTGGGGTAAGAGACATGCAGAAAAAACGTGGAGACAATAGTTAACTCAAGAAGACGTCTGGAATACCCGAAAAGCTGCCTAAGAGGGGCTTAGTTGTCTATATGTGTGTTCCAGCTTATCTGATATGGTTTGGCTAAGGTGTCCTGACCGTTCTCTTGGATTGTGATTTATTCTGGAACACTGCCCTACCGAAAAAGCATTGCCTACTAAACCTGCGCAGTGAGTAGCTGGTAGTGGTTATTCTTCAACCTACCTACTCAAGATTTAGCCGATTTTCACGGATTTGGCGTTACGTTGATTAATCATCTAGAAACACGTCTATAGGTATCATCTGAAGGCGTCATCTCGAGGAGTTTGTTTCTACGCTTGATGTGAATTAAGTTGGAAACATTCGAGAACAGTTGTTTTAATACTCACATATTCGAACAAGAAGCTGAATAAATTGTTTGAGAGACAAAAACTGTGTACGGTTAACTGATGAGGAGTGTCGTGAAAGTTATTAGTTTTGAACACTGTTCAATAGGTATGTAGTTTCACCTGGCTATTATGTCTAATTGACGATTTTATGCGTTCATCGTTGGACTTCAGACTGGTGTTTTAAAATAGGGAAAAGTATAAACGATGAAAAGGCTATTCTCGCTTAGTTAATTACTATGGAGAAATCGACATTTGTTACTCTGATACGGTCGCCCTTGGTCAGTTCTAACCGAAACACAGTCTAGCAATGAAGTGGACTGTCATTCATTTTCCCATTGATCGGTCATAGCGTACTAGGCCGACGGACACTCTTACAGAATGGATAATTCCACATTGAGTTTTTGCCGGCCCGAAGGTGTTTTCACCTGAAATCCCTGTCTGGTTTAAACCCGAGAGAAAACGACTGAACGGCGAATAAGTCAGAGCAGTGCCGAATCCTCCAGCATGCTCAGCTGGTGTCACGTAGTTGTAAGTTTGCGAACGAACCATTGAAAATTGATTTAGAGCACATATAGAAGGATATCTGCTAGTCAGCACCATTCAGAATACAAATTCTGTGCACGTAAATATGGCTAGCCGGTGTTAGCTATCATTCAGCATAACGATGGTTACGAAGCATTACCTTTTGTGTAACATCCCGCATGATTCGAATGGTGTATAATATAATATATACTGATGCCAAACCTTGCGTATTGTTTCACAGAAACTATCAAGCTGCTCCAAACAAAATCCGTGTATCGTGGTCTAGTCGTGATGTTCTTAATACAGCCCTGAAGTTCAATGACAAGGACTCGCTGCTTAATGTTTCTCACATTCGCGAATTTGTCACATGTTGAAAAGAAAATTGCCTGATAAAGATGAATATGATGGGTCTGAGAAAAACTAAACTGTCACAGAACGCACCAACGTTCAGCAGCTCCAAAGTCCTGTTGGCATTGTAGTAACCCGGCTATAAACTCCTCAAAACAGGCTAGTACCCGTCACAGTTATATCGTTCTTTATAGAATGGATAAAACTTCTGAAACCCTTGCACAGACATATTAAAAACCAACACATATTTCAGAAGTGGTGAGGAAAATGATTCGAAGGAAGATAAAGGACCATTCTGAACATTGTACAAATGTTGCAGACAATAAGCCGTACTTTTCAAGAAGATTTGGTGGCGCCGTGGCAGTAAAAACACATTTGCGTTAAATTTGTGTGCTGTTTTCAGTTTTTCAAATTGTATGGATTGATTTGTTCACAGATGTACACCAAAATGAATAGTCGCCCTGTATTCAGCTTCCCGGAAGCTGAGTTCTGGTGTCACACACCGCACAAACTTCCTAGACCTTCGAAATTACGGTTGACGTTGGGTCGACGTTAAACTAGTCAGTTGCTACCACTGAATGGTGGATACTACTGACGGGGTATGCGAGTAGTGTGTTTTCTCGTAAATCCGCTTCGCATCTCTTGAAGAGTGAGATCTATTACGGACTTGGTGAAGTCGCTTTGTAGCATTTGCTTGTATTTGAGTAACAGCCTGTGGATTTCCAGGAAAGTTTAGGAAGACTTGTGCATGGAGAAGATGGGTACTCAGTTTTTTAAACAAGATGCATGTGAGAGTTTCGCTTCCCTGTCCAATAGTCTGTAGCTGGCAAGTGGTGTTTTATAGCAAAACTTGCGGCGAATGCCTTCTTCCTCTAACCATATCCATCTTACGTAGCCTTCGCTACGCCGCGAGTTACAAAGCTGTTTACTCCGGCTTGGTCCTGCACTTTGTCCGCGGTCTATCCGGTATTTTCAAGCTGAGAACCTGTGTGCTCAGTTTGGCAGTTAGTATACCCACACACGCAGGCTTCACTGGGCGATCTGTTGAGCACTTATGTGGTAGTCTTTGTTGTTTGCTCGGGTCACACACATATGAGATTCTTCACCGACAAGTCACAAGCTTCCTCTGTATAGGCAGTAACATACCACATCAGGCTCAAGTTCCGGAAGTCTAGAAGTGCATCTAACCTCACAAGACCTCGTTTCAGCCCCGCAACTACTACAGCTGGTGAAGATAAGCGATTTATTCGCGATGCAAAGCAAACCGATTGCAGCGCGACAGAGTAAAACATCAAAGTTGTTGAATTTAATCGTAAAAAACCTTGAACAATTGGTGGTCCTGAAACAAACAGAAACAACGCCACCGAACTTCCTCTTCACCGTAACAACATGCGGGGCTGGAAGATCTGACGGTAGAGGGCTAAAATAAAGCTGTCATTCCACATATGTAACGAGTTCAGTAAACAAGGTGATTGGACCTTCTTGGGTCGTATACAGATTCCTTTATGCTAGGATTTTGTCTAACACCAATAATCAAAAGTGGATTAAAAATAGACTAGGCCATTACTGACTAAAATCAGGCAGCCCGTTGCAAAATGCAATTCATGTATGCATTGCAGTACGATTGGTCTGGTCGGAAGATCGCGTCGACTTACACCAAAATCATGGGACAGTGCTTGCTGTATTGTGCAATGAAATGTTTGCGGCCTTTGGTCAGTCTCTTTCTTATGTGTCCATATGGGCGTGTTCCGGCAGAAACGACTTAGTGAGTAACCTACTGAAACGGATTAAAAGTAGTAAAAATCCGCCTCTAATTTTCACTAACTTCCTTCCGTAAAAGCGGTATAATTGAGCTATTTTTGTAGATTTGGTAGCATACCACATAATTTTTAATTTTTTCGGACGTTTTCAAAGTCTTTTCATTTGTCGGTGAAAATATTTGCGACCTGATTTAGCTTGCTCTTAGCTGCGCTCAGAACATGCAGCCCACATGATGGAGAGTTCTGCAGAGCTCTGGCCAGTTTATCCTATTTCGGTTGGAAGTTGTTTGGCAATCGGATGATAACTTGAGGTAACCACAGAGGTTTTCTAAACTGTTCTCCTGTTAAATGTTTTTTACCGCAACCTGATAATCAGCAGAATCATACGTCACGCAACATGAGTAGATTTTCTCGCAGAGCTAAACCGCAACAACTGTTCGGTTTCACCCAGTCGCGTATTGACGATATCTACTCGATCGATGTCGAAACGTTTGTGATTGAATTGCACGGCAAACAAACGAATAGTCAGCCTTTAGAGCCTCCTTCAAACTATATTACGGTGATTTTGCCGTAGCCACCTTCAATCTATGTGCCGTAGCTAGCCAGACAATATGGCATAGCCTCCCAGTGCCTGTGGAAGTCACCGTGATACCAAAGAACGCAAGTAATTTGAAATCTTCAGCGTCTGTCACCGACTTGAACATGGTCTGTTCAATCCCAGATACTTGCAGTGCATTGTGTCCCATTTTCCTAGTATGAGAGGCTGTGGAGTGATGCACCTATACAGGGGTTTTCCTCTGTTCGAGTATCCTGGCTTTGCGGCATTCTATCCTTACAAGGGTCTTGTCAGAGTTCCGTAGAGGTGAAACAGCAACTCTCGACGTAAACCTTACCGCTTCCAATGACTTCCACGCCCAAGGGACCTATTTTTAATCGACAAAACAGAAATCTTGGTTGGCCTTAGTGTTGTAAACTTAGTCTCATTTGGTTCACCTGAAAATAAGACATCGTCCATCAAGTAATATTCTAGAAGGTGTCTCTCCAAATCGCCCGTCCTGAAGGGGAGTATTAGCGTCAAGCCCTGGTCTTATTTTGTCAGTGAAGATCATGTCACAGATTGTGGCCAGTTCATTTAGATTGTTGTCAGAGCCGGTAGGTTTTGTACCGTTTTTCGACTTCTATTTTAGCATTCTGATTCCCTATCTGTTGAACCCCTGTAGGTGGCACTAAGTGCATGACTTTCTACATCTAGGTAATGATTCAACCTCTTCAGAAAGAAACACACTAAATGGAACAGCTATAAAGCGCAATCACTTTGCACTTCTGTCTTGCAATTCAGATCCTCCAAATGGCGTGCACGTTACCGCGTCGCCAGCTGGGCCCGTAACCGAATCGATAACAAAAAAGTTTACCTGTAGACTCAATTCCAGCGGAAGCAATCCTCCAAGTGACATACAATGGATGCAGCTCGATTCTGCTGGAGCCCGACTACCAATGACAGACGTGGAAATTACCCCAACTGAACAGATGTCTTCTCCAACCGGAGGTTACCTTTCTCACTCAACTCTGACCGTGAACGCCAGAAGGTCTAGCAACGGAAGACGATTCGAGTGTGCTGCCATTTACTTGCAGAAAAGAACATCTCTTCGTTCCGAGGAAATTTTGGAAGTGTTATGTAAGTTGCATTCTAGAGTGGGCAGATCCAAACTGAATTGGGCTGTGCGTTCAATGCTACCAACCGGCTGTTAAATGCAGGTTGAGACCCAGAAATCAAGTTTCAAAAAAGTTAAATTAATTTATGGTTTTGGTCCGCCAAATTTACCCTGTTCTCTTCGTCATCGCAAGCTGACAACTGTGTATTTGGAAAATTCTGAGGCAACCAAACGTGCTGGTGAAACCCCATTTTTCATCATCCTAGTTATATTAGATTTAGAGTATGTCCCTTTGCAACTGCTTGCCTACCTTGCAATCAGTCTTGAAAAAGCAGCTGATGAGACGTGTCCGAAAAGCACAGTCCTTGGAGCCTCTGTACTATATATGTTTCCATGAATCATTAGTATGTATTCGACTTAACTCCTTCGCAAGTCCTGGTACTGTTTACTGGATACATCTATCTAACTTGGGGTAACGGACAGTGCTGGCAGGATGACATGGAAATGATCGATCTCTATCCAGACAGGAAAGCAGGATTAGTTACCCACCGATTGTCGCAGTGAACTGACATCAGTCCAGGGATTCGTCTGCCACGTCGAACAGTGCCAATGAACTTATGCGCAGGATAGGCAACGCTACACGCGGACTGCTATGAGTTGCGTGTGCGATCAAATGAACACCCTTGTCCCGGTCTGGACCCGAGGGCACAAGGTTGAATGCAGGACAGGTCAGGGTCAATACTTAAAAAACATCACTCCTCAGTAATGGGCGTTCAGCCCAAAACAGTAGCTTGATTTAAACTACGGACAATAGTGTGTCTGTGGCCAATCAATACAGAACGAATCCACCCACAGGTAAGAAGCATTCCTTAACAAAATTTATTTTACTGGCCTTAGCAGCGAGTTCTGACAGCCTTGGATGACTGCGATATGAATACATTAGTTTCCTGAAGTTTATAGAATGACCCCTGGATAGGTGCCCCCCACTCCGGAACAATTCCCATCGTCAGCCATAAACTAGAGTGAGACTTCTCACCCTAGTGTACAAATGCCATTTCATACAAAAACGCAGCCTGGACTATGTAGTAAAGTACTGGTAATCTGTAGTTTGCTTAATCACCACCCTCAGGATAGACTGCTGGCAGCTAACTAACCGATCTGCTGCTTTTCACTCATACTGTGTTTTGCTTTGCTGACATTTTCACTTGTACGTCTTTTTACTTGCTCGTTTCCACACTGCCATCTCTCCGCTTCGATCGAAGTCGCACCGAACAATGTACGCCTAACGGAAAAGCCGATGGGCGGTGTACGGGAATCAGACCGTTTGGAGCTTACTTGTAAAACCAGTTCTTGCCATCCGCCTGCCGTGATTCGTTGGTTTGAAGTGCCACCGAAACCGAAGCTTTCGAATCAGGCAACAAACGAACTGACGGATTTAGCCCAAATTGATACGGTATGTGATCGGTTTTGGATGATTTTGCTCAGTCCGCGGACTTCACTGTAACAAAATCTGCTATGTATGTTTCGCTTCATGCGTTTACTAGACTGCTTTAGTTCTACTCTCTTCTTAATCTTTCCTTTATCTTGATATCAGGGATGATCCAATTAAAAAGACCTGGTTTTATGTAGATGCGTGTTAAACAAGACGTTTGAGAGTACGTTCTAGTGGAAAATTTCAAAACACATTCTATGATACAAGACCGATTTCCTGAAAGCTGTCACTTGGTTCTAAGAAGTTAGTGAAAAATTTGATTTACGAAATTCTATACCTTTATGCATTTGGTGGGTCTAAGGATCGAAACGGTGCGGTGGGGTGTGGCCCCATGCTCCAAACGGTTAGCCTACGGTTGTCACTGGTTCTTAAAACCATATGCATACACGCAAATGAAAGGACCACATAGGTTGGCCAACATGTTCCAAGGTTGGTTAAATTGTGGTATATCTCTTGGATCTGATGTGGGTGAAAATCTGCGTGAGAATGTCTTTGTGCACGTGTGTTTGTGTTGTGAGCGTTACTTAGCAACCTGACTGTGGAAGTTACAGAAACGCGCAAGTATCGATACCGTGTTGATTGCAGTAAGATGGACCTGATATTTCCTACCTGTAAAGAACCTCCGAGAACACTTCAAGCATCCTGCATAGATTTCACGACGGCTTCCAAGGGTACCTACCAAGAAGTATCGTGAACAGCTGTTTCCAAATATGACTATCTGCCAAAATCCGTAGACCTCATCCGTAGTCGACGTCAAAGAATACGAAGATCAAGGACCAAACGATTAATTTTGAAATTTTTACCGTTGCAAGACAGCTGACAGTGCTTACAGGCCATTGCGAAAGCGGTTTTCGTGAGTGGACCTGCCTGCACGTAGATCGAGCGTGGACGTCTAGTTTGTGAAGGTTTTGGTGCGAGCAGTCCGGTTCACCAGACTAGGGGCCGCAATTCCTTGTTTTCGGGCGACCGTGTGCTTTTTCACACAAGATTGAGGTGCTGTAGCGTTCAGATGATAAGCTCGTGACTGCTGCTGCGCACTTTGGCCTTTTCCTCAACTCAAAAAACAGTTCATTATCCATCAACCTGCGCTCGTTCCAGTTTTCTCTTGTGTCAGAACTCGAACTACGTTTGTGGACAACTGCAAATGCTTCCCATATCTCGGAAACACACACTTCGTTGCCATTACCGTTAACCGTGAGCTGAGATCTCGTTGTGCCAAGGCTGGTTTGGCTTTTGGTGAACACTGGAAACATATGCGGGGGGAAACCGGGGCCTGTAAATGGAGACCAAATTGCACATCAACATGGTGATGGTCCCAACTGCTTTCTTGTATGCTATCTACGCACCGGCGTAACTTCCTCCATTAAGGCAACTTCACCATCGCCACAACTAACTCTCCATACCTTTTTTGACCAAGTATCTTATTTCATTTCGAAGCACACTGAAGCGGTCAGCAGTAGCAAACCCACATTTTCGCAAAATATTACCACATATATTTTGGCTTCAAAAAGTGATATGTGATTTTCAGGCCTCAGTATCCGATATTGTTTTCATGGGTCGCTCTGAGAAATCCATGTTCGTGAGGCGGACATTTGCGTGAAAGTTCTACTATCTTAGACGTGCTCGCTCACTAGCCTCAACTTTCTCGTACATACAACTTGTCTGCACACTTGTTACGAATTCATCTGTGCATCATTTCACCAGCATCTTTGGAGTTGATGAGAGCAGTTGAGGTGTCGAATTGGGTGTTTTAATTCCTTTCGGTACACTGCTATCCTACAACCTGAAGAAAAGCTGAAAGTCAAAACACTATACGTTTGCCTAATATCAAATAAAATGCACTTGAATTCCTACGATGGGAGTTGAGCCGCAAAATTCCAAGCTAGAGATTTGCTCTCTTGTGTCTAAATTATTTTATTTTATTAATTTCCTGCAACAGTTGCTAACTAAGCCAAAAGTGAAGTGTTGGTCATGATACACCATCCTCACTGACGTGCTTGGGATAGTGATTAACTGCCTGGATATAAAAAAGCGTTCTACGACTTGATCTAATCATTTTTCGTTCGGCATTACAGAAAGAATCTTTTATCATGTAAGAGAGAAATAGTACGAAACTTTTGTGAAAGCGAGCAGATGTTGGTGCAAACCGTCTGGTTGTCAACCCCAGACAACCAAGTGGTGTCCCCTCCCGATTTAAATTGGACAAGTTGGCCAATAGATGGCAGTTGTTACTTGGATCTTAGCAATTTGGCCTTGGATTTCATGCCTACCCCACCATGTCAATCTTCGCGCCAAACCTGTTTTCCAGAGCCCCGGTGAATACGGTGGAACTAGTGTATCGAGTACACTGGTTGTCAGCAAAACCTACCGATCCCAACAGCATACAGTGTTCCGATGTCAAGTGGAGCATCCGGGGTTAGAAAAGCCGATAATCAACGAACATCGAATGCAAGTTTTATGTAAGTTTCGTACGATTTGTTGATCTAAATTTCAATCATACTATTTTTGATGTCTTCTTGTCCATACACTAAGTGTGAGAATTTATGTAAAAACAGTTTCGTGATAGTTGTCAGTGGACACGCTTCACAGTGAGCTTGCTCAAGAGTACATTGATCAGACTGGTGCTGATCTTCTGGAGAGTAGGACCGAAGGCGATAATGACCACGTGTTCACAAGATGTTGCACGCACACTAGGGAAATACTGGCAACTGGCTTACAGTAAATGATCCTTCAGTGTTGATGAGAAGTAACTTTGACAGAACTTAGCTACCCAGGACACTTACGCCCACCAGGTCCGTATCCCGGTATTGCACAAGCGTTCCGCGACGTTTCTGACTAATGGATCAACAATTGATATCTGTTAATGCAATGTGTGGTTCCTATGGTGGGCGAGAGGACAAGGCCTCTAATACACCCCAGGAATACTGGCGTAACTTGATGCAGAACGCTTGCAGATAAATGTGTGATTGTTGGTTTTGTAATCAGACCAATCCTGCTTGAACAGTTTCCTTCCCCTCTTGGCTCAGCTACATCACGAGGGTGAAGCAGCGGTCTCGAATTCACTGCCATTATGCTTTTGGGAATAAAACTCGGACAAAAGTTATGCGATACGTGAGTGTTACGACCGCATGAGCACTGGATTCACCTGAATTAACATAACAGAATGACTCAGATACTCACGAGTGATAATTGGCTGTCAATATTTCAAGTCTGATTTACCACCAGATGTTGTGGATCGATAGACTAACAACCGACTTCCTCTGCAGTAGCGTGCAGGATCAATGTAAACTTCATTGGGTTTGCCGCCTACCAGTTACCTCCATGCAAGAGCAACACAACTTGACTGAAAAAAATGGTAACAAAAATGTTTGGTACACATTAATTCCTCAGAAGATTTACGGGCAGAGAACCGATGTGCATTTCATGTGTTTGACACACAAAGCGTAAACGACGGGAAGTCGAGAGATGCTTGCAGCTCAACAACGTCCACCGAAGATACTATATAGAGAATCTTGTCTCGGAGGCATACACTATATCATCTGGTCATTTCCATGTCTAGCCTTGCTACAGTACCTTAGCATGTATTTCAAGATTGAGAAAGTAGTCAGAATAGCCAAAATCAGGACTAACAAGGGGGAATATTCAACTCATGAACTTAGCTACTCGAAAGCCGCAGGTAGTATATATTTAATTAACCTGCTGTTTTCGCGCCACTGGCGCTCTGGTTAAAAGGGCACTAGCCATAAGTTAAGCCACTGGACGGAAGTATTATATATATATATATACATAT